CTCCTCTTGCACATTTTATACCTGACAATGTTGGCATCTAATAAGTATGCTCCCGCCATATGTTTATTATAAACAGTTACTGCATTAAGACAAGAACTTGATTTTTTTTAGTCTTAGAAAATCTTGTACAAGTGCCAATGTTTGCTCACCAACAAATGTAGATAGTAAAGTATCTAAAAGATTATCTTTTCACACAACTGCAATTATCATTTTATTTTGAATTTTTGTTATACATTCAGCAGATGAACCTTTCTCAGATTTCATAAATTCTTTTTTATTAGGTAACTTAACATTTTTTAACCTATTTTTACATACAGACTAAGTGATACCATATCAAGTTTATTACGCAAACCCCTTCTAGTAATTTAATACATTCATATATTAATATATGTATATATACCTTTTTTTAGAATACTTACCATCTGGCCCATAATTGATCCACCCCAGCCCTTGATGGGCTTTAACTGAGTACTGTAGTGAACTGGCATACACTTCATATCTACTAAAAACGCCAACAGACACTCCAAAAAAAAATTCAGTTGCATTTAGAACGTATTTTTAAATTTCTATTGAAATTCAACGTCAACATTTCATTTACTATTTTATTATTTATAGTGGTATAATATAAGTATTCGCTCCACCCTAAAAAATTAAAAACTATATATTTTGCTATTGCTATATTTGGTTTAATTGATAATACATAATGAAAAATAAAATTATTTTAAAATTTCAATTATTATCATTTAGTAGGATGAATTGTTGGTTAGCCATCTAAACAAATAAGAATGTTTATCAATTTATCTACAATACATAAAATATGTCTCTGGATAAGTATCAAATAATATAAGCATTTAATGCACTGAATATTATTATTATGTAACTGTCCAGATCTAAACACATCAAAGTTAATATACGGGTGTATCTTCATTGTAGTCAAATTGAATTAAATTGAAATATTTTTAATCTAATTAAACTGTTCTATTTATTTAAGTCAAAAATTATTAAGTAAAAAAGTATGAACACATACGTAATCAAATATTATAAAGTAAAATAAATTTATAAAATCATCAAAACCCACATTCGATACGTAATCTAATATTATAAAGTAAAATTAAATTTATAAAATCATCCAAACCAACATTCGTCTGGCAAGTCTCCCAGAAATAATAGTTTTTCCAGACGAGAACACAGAGATGAGGCAGATTTTTTTTGTAAATGAAACTTCGAATCCTACTGAATTCCGGTATATACTACAAAATAAACCTTCTTTTTTATATATCATACACTTATAAGCCATAGTGGAAAACTTCTGGTCTTCAACACTTTTTACCATTTTCTTAAATAATGTTTTTGTGTAATTCGAAAAATTAAAAAAACATAACTTGAGATACGTCTATGATGTTGAATTTTTTCGATGTTTTTTTTCAATTTCCTTGTAGGATTCTGGCAAATATATACCTTCAACTTTTCTCTTCACCTTTTCTATCAACCTGAAACATCGATCACACGATAAAAAGCTATCACTGTGTGATAGTTCCTAAGTTGAAACATCTAGATTGATTTTATCTGATTTGGATTTTTGAACAAATGATTTTAAGTCTGTATAAAATACCTCTGCTATTCTTACATGCACTTCTTTTTTAATTTCAAACTCACAATTTATTTCTGGAACAGTTTCGTGATCAATTAAATTTTTTAAACGGTCACAAATTTGACACGTGTCAGTTTTTGGAGGACCGAAAGTTAAATTGAAATTACTTTTGAAATATTTTTTTCGAGAACCGGCAATACATGGGGACCTTCCAACAGTAGGGAGCGGGCTGAGAACCAGCCGAATCGAGACTCCCGCGACATTTTAGCGAGCCTATGGAGATAAATCTAAAGCCTTGGCCAAAAAGCTTAGATCTCTCGCAGCGTCATCTTGGCGAATGTCATATCACGGTGAATCGGGCCCTAATTCGTTTAATTCATTTAATTATTTACAATTCACAAAGAATAGTAGTACCAAGCAGATTACTCCGTCAGCACAGTCCGGGAGACCGCGAAACCCGCACAAGGCGGTTCCGACGCTCTCCCGTTATGGACTAACGTGGCACCCTGACCGATGTCCCGTATTTCGTCGCGGGAAGTAAAGGGCACTTGCAAGGCCAGAATATCCAGACCGTCCTGCAATGCTCGTCGCCCCATCTCCCCGGACTTAACCTGACTGCGACCCAGGTTGAGCTGCGCCAGGCGAAGACCACGAGGCCGGTTGCTAACTTGCGGTGTATTAGGCTTGCTTAGTTTTCAGTGTTTCCTTCTCAGCCGCCACCCTGCTAGACGGGCAGTCGCCACTTGATGCACGGTGCGTCGATGGTGCACGTGATCGGACGCAGTTGACACACCTCGGTGGTCGGTTCTAATGCGGGCAAGCACTCAATTCATGCCCGGTTTTACCACAACGGGCGCACGTCAATTTGCCACGGCATGATTTCTTTACATGGCCATAAGCAAGGCAGTTGTAACAGCGCGACACTGCAACGTGTTCATGAACCCTACAGCGGACCCATTCAACGTACAAATGACGCGCTTTCTTCAAGGCGGCGACGATTGCAAGTTTGGCTGTGCAAACCCAGTCGACAAGATTCATCCACATCGGGCCGACTCTGAAGCTAGGCTTCAGACCTGTAATAACCGCCTCCTTGGAGAGGTCGCCCCAGACACTCGGGTTCTGCAGAAAAACACACTCCACAAGTTCCGCCTCGGAGAGACAGGACGGCACGTCACAAATGCGGAAGCGTGGCATGCGTGCCTCGGGTTCCGACACCGCATAACCCGCCGCGTTGAGCGCCGCAAAGGCCTTGAGTGAGTGGAAAGTCACCTTATCAGCGGCCTCTATCACCAAGGCGCCCGCGTGGGTAGTCCTGGTCCGGGCGATCTTTAGGCGGTTAACCCTCGGAGCCGCCACCGACCAGAACTTGGTCGCATCCGTCGACGGGACGCCCGTGTCCTCTTTCGGCTTCACGAAGAGAGTGAGTTCACCCCTGCGTCTGGCCCTTATTTTGGCCGACTTACTCATCTCCGCTGGGCGTGTCTGATGGAGCGATTTGGCACCGCTGCCTCAGCGTTCGGACCGCGTGAAGCGTTCTTGTCGACCTTCTTTGCAGCCGTGGTAGCTACTGTCGATTTTACCGCGTCAGAATATGCCTTCGGCGGTGCCTCTTTTTGCACCTCCCGGGGGGTGGTGTTCCCCCGGGGACCAACTGGCTGCTTCTTTTGCCCGTTTCGGCTAGCGCTGTCTATCTTAGCCTGGGGCTTCATTTTGGGTTCAGGTATCCGGGCGCTATCCGCGCTAGGACCTTTCCCTGCTGCTGTCTTCGGCTTCTCCTTGATCGGACAATGGGCGTTTGAAATTCCAGGAGTTTCAAGCAACTCGTTGAGGCGCTCGGCAAGTGTGCCAAACTCCTCCCGGTAGACTACACGGATGGACTTTTTAGCGTCATCAAGCAAAAAGCCTATCCTCGCTAAAATGTCCTTAACCTTCTTCTCTCTCGTTTGACGGTCGTGGTCAGTCTTCTGGCTTAAACCTTTGCTATCAGACTCGTTCGGGTAGCGTTGATTACCCGTGGGGTTAACCACGGACGAAGACGATCCTGCAGGACTCACTATTAGGCAATTTCCTCTTGCCTTCGTTAGTGGAGAGAACTGGACTTGACAACCCGCTACCTTTTGGTCCTCCATTCTTTTTCGACGAATGTCCGACTTCAGTGTCTTCAAACCTTATATAGTTAAATTTATTATCACATTTATCACTTTTATTCTTTTCACTTTGAGTATATAAATTGTCTTTTGTCATGCGACTATACATTTCATTATTTGGTTCAAAATTCACACAATTTTTTTTACTTTCTCTGCCACCTTTGATGAGTTCTTTGGCATGAAGTGCTCCATTTATGGTCTCTGTATTAAGCCTATTTCTTAATTTTGTTTTCAGATTGTTGACTGTAGAAAAGACCCGTTCACAGTCTGCATTGGCATGAGGTAAACTTAATACTGATAAAGCAAAGTCTGCCAACTCATCAAAATCTCCAAGTACTTTAATTTCAGACCTAAATACTATTTATAAAGCATTTATACTTTATTTACTGCAAGTATAATATTATATTGTCAAATTAAGGTTACTTACAAAAAAACATCAGGATATTCAGTACCGATTTCATCTGTCAAACTAGATATTATCAAGGGTAATCTGCGCCACTGATTATCTATACACTGCATAAGTTGGACATTATCCGACTTCACAATCCTTGGCACTGTAGTTATAGGAGGCTATAGCGAAGTATTATTTTCTCTAAAGCCTGCTGATATGGCATTACTTGGTTTTAATATGGAAATCTTTGATAATACTGATACCTCACAACAACACACGAAGTTTTTACTGTTCCAATATCGGTGGACTCGTCAGTTAATAAGCTGAACATCACTGTTTTTAATTTTTCTGCAAGTTGATTTTTTTGTGTTTTGCCTACTTTATACATACAACTTTTACCCTCTGCAAAGTTACAGCACAACGACGAGGCGTATTGTCTGCTGTAAATAAAAAATATTGAACTTACCGCCCACTTTGACGAATAGCTTGTACGTGGTTGCTTGCTATCCCGTGATAATCTTAAGGCTTAAATGAGAAGAACAGTTTAAGTTTTCAGCCAACCTCCACTGTAGGTATAACAATATAATACTTATTCATGTTTTACACTTTTCGCTTTTTACCAAAAATCACATATTACAATCTAATTTTATTTTCCTTTTCCCCTTTTTTATATTATACAAAATTGGTTTGAAAAAAATTGTTAATAAACACCAAAGCGGTTAATACTTAACGATTGTATTTGAAAACATCTTTAAACGTACAAATTTAACAACTCAGTCTTAGTACGGTTCTTATAATTAACAAAATTTTTATAAAAATAAAATAATACAAAGTTTGTAGGCCAACTGTGTTTGTTTTCTTTTTGTAAAGTTCAGCATGGGAGATCACTAATTTTTTCAACCGGATATCCCAATTTTTTTTTACACTGGCGGCATCGTTTCAGTGTTCTTACAAGTGGAAATGTCATGGGCTATAAACAAACATCATACGTTATATTTTAATATATATTTTTATGTGTATGTGCATTGTACTGCTGTTTTATAACCCGGAAACGAAGTAAAACTTGAATACAACAATGGAGTATATATTTCATGGCAGATTTTAGAGTTATTTGGTCATTTAAAATATCACTAGGATCTCCATTAAAAAAAATATCCCATTACGATAACTGCAGACAGAAAATAAATATATGATAACAACCATAATAGGGTTGGTTAAAATAGTTATGGTTTTCTACAAAATATAAAAGTATAATAAGGACGACAGTGTTTACAAACTTCAGCTAAACAAATTATTATGAAAATAGTATTTTAGCGTTTAGTATACATTATGTATTTAATAACGACTATTATTTTACAATTACCGGTGAATCATAGTATAATATACAGGTTTCCATTTGATTCTTTTAAGTTTTCTTCTCCAACCTAATATCTCGCACTTTTTATTTATTTAGATAGAAAAAATACAATTGACCTCAGAATTCTCAATTCTCTATATCTTAAGTTTTTTGATGTCATATAATATAATAGATAGGATAAAAAGGATTGGCAAATAGAAAATGAGGTGGGATGAAACTATGAATTCACAAACTGTCTTTGATTCGATTTCCATGGAAGGCTGCACATATTAAAAGATAATCTCATTGTGTGGGTCCCTTTGTTGTTTGTCCTAAATTTAAGAGACCTACCAGAGAAGTGTACACTTACATGAGACCGGGGTATCTCGTTTTTACGGCCTTCCTTTTCACCATTGTCTAACCATTTTTTCAAATCTTCCGACAAAATATGCTTTTTATTGAGTCTTTTGCGTAACATCTCTGCTTGCAGTTGTTCATTCCTTTTAACAACAAGATTTTCTCAATTGTTTTTTTACTTTTATCACACTAAAAGAATAGTCGCCAATAATTATTACTCGTCTTTTAGTCTGTTCAACCAACAAATCTCGTTGTTTACTTCTTCAGTCTTTTGTGTTTGATCGTTTTGATTGCGAGCAGCTACTTGCGACAGTTGGTATTCGGCTGTTTTCGTGTTGATACTATTTAAATCAAAAAGGTTGTACAATGTTAACCTATTAAAAAATAGTTTAAAATATTCCTGAACTCATTCGTTCACCTCTTTTTGTATTCTGTCATACTACTTGGTCGGATCTCGTTCGTGCCCAAAATGGTTTTCGACAAAGGCAATGCAATCATGTTTTTCTTCTGTTCTTCTTCCAGTCGCCGTTTTTCCATTAATTGCTCATTTAAAACTTTCAAGTAGCTTTCTTTCGAACGATTCTTCGCTTCTATATTTCTCATTCTTTCGTCGTGTAAGCTGAAGCAGGTGACATAGTAAATCTTAATCTTAAACATCATTCAGGAACCCGTGTTTTGTTTATACCTTTTTATAAGCTCTTCTTGGACTCGTTTTTCATCTTCTAAGCATGCTGTTTTATTTGTATTGTTTTTTAATTTTTTTTCTTCTATCTGGTCAAGTAAAGTTTGCCTCAGAGCAATTTTCTCACCGGAATTCTCTGTGACGCTTTTAGGTCTCTAAATAAACTGACTTTAAAATAACACTTAACTGAGATTTATAAGCGTAGCCAAGTTAAAACTTTATGTACTTTATAGAGTATGTAACTTTTAGCGTTTTTTTCACTTAGGGCTTTTTCGTTTTCGTTTTTAATTACTTCTGCGAGTTTTTTGGCAGTTACATAATTGTAGTTTGATGTGTCTTTCAATTGCATTTTACGCTTATTTTCAGTGTCCTAACAACAAATTGCTGAAATTGCTATTTAAAAAAAAAAAAATTCTAACCTCGGTATACCTACTGTGTTTAACGGTTGGCCAAATGGGTTGTCTCCTTTCATAAAGTTATCTTTATCCTGTGAATCTGGGATGAATGTATTTATCGTGTCCACTCGTTGTTTCCTCTTGCAACATAAGTAACACAAATGATCTGAAAAATATATAAATACTAAATACTGTACATAGTTATAGATTTTTCTTGTATGAAATCATTCAAAATTAAAGTACTCACCGGTGTTATTTTCTATTTGATCCACACAGTTGTCCTGGAATTTAGTTTCTTTTTCAGCTTTATCGGATAATTTGGCCAAATCCACTGACGATGCTCTGGTCTGGGGTCGTGATAAATGATTGGACGATGCGGGTCTTTCCAGCGACCTGGATCGGATCGATGATTGTCTGGACAACCCCCTCGATCCTGGCCTATTGGATTGGTGGTTCGATCTTACTGATAAGTTGGACGAAGGTCTGCTAATCGGTCTGAGAGAACAGACCGATAGTCTGGATGTGGGTCTTTTTGCATTATCAGAAGGCATGGGCAGCACACGTTCGTATCCGGTACCAGGTCTATACTGTGACAACGAAGAGGCTGGTCGAGAAATGACAGAGCCTGATGTTTGTGGTCGCTCCTGAACATCATCAAAAGGTATAATTAATAAAAACAAATCAGTCTCTTCGAACCGACCTGATGAAATACTTCTCGTTTGTATTGATCTCGATCCCAATTGGGGTCGTAACTAGTGGCCTTATAGCGATTCTTCCTTGCTTCCATGCGGTCTTGCATGTACTCGTTTTGCCTGTCCAAAAATTGGCGATAAAACCTCATGACGACTTTCTTATTTTTCACTTGTAATTTGCCAATCCTGGGAAAAGGAAGTTCGCAATTTTTCTGCTCGTACAGAAGTTTCTTAAACGCCGTCACCACTTCTTTCAGACAATGCTGGACCATGTCTGGGTCCAGGTCGTAATCATGTGCCACCGATAGCAGATTCAAATAATGCTCGTGGATCTATGAACGTGGCATGGATCAAAAGTATCAGTGCTCTCGAGTATATAGCTACCTGTTAGCACTCACTTTCCCTGTATTGTAAGGTCGCTTCCTTTTCAAATTGTAATCTTTTGCCAGTTTCTCGTCGATCACAAACACGGGCTTTCTGATTGTAAACGGGTATCCTTTACCCACCGGTATATCCCACTGGGCCACAGTGAAGTAACCGATTCCTTTCATCAGTATACCCTGCAATATGAATTAATAGTACAATTAGTAGTCAGAGCTCACGACATTGTGCCAATTACAAGCACTTATATACGAGGTAGTGAATAGAAATGTATAATTATGACAAAAATATGCTTTTGAAAATAAATTAAACGAGCAGCCATATATATTTACGACTGAATAGATATTGTGTAAAACCTTATTTTTTGTTTTAATCAATAAAAAAAATACAAAACGTTATGAACAAAGAAAAATGCGAACCTTATAAAAAGTAATTTATTATGTAGACGTTTAATACAAGCCTACGTTAAAATGAAGATGTTCTAGTAAAGTGGATTGGCGTGGTAATTTCCTGAAAACCATACTTAACCCTATAGCAATTTACAAACAAAACAGTTTTACTCGGAAACTGTTTTGAATCGAGTACCTTAAATACAATTATATGAAAACATTTATTTTCGTTTTTAAAATATAATACATTTTGGTGTACAGTTGCAAATACTAAATATGATTATACTCTCATAGGGTTTACTTTGTCACGGTTTATGTTGTTTTCGATCCATCTGGAAATACAATCCCACACTCTGATTACATCTAAGAAAAACAGCTGCGGTTATAAATCATTTGGTCACTGTCGTTGCAAAATCCACCAAATTACCTTTAGTCGTGTACTCAGTGCCAATTTTCGTTTTAAAGTTATGCTTAGCCGTTTCCAAAATTTTTTCGTTGTATAATTCTCCATCTGCTGTATGAGACTCCATTATTGCCAAGATAAGTTCTGCTTATAATGCAGTTAGTTCAGGATGATTTTCTTTTTGCTATCTTTCTAATGACTTTCTTTATTATGTTTACCAAAATCCGGTTACCATGACAGTATGAAAGATATTTTTTTGACATTTTTTTCTTTGCTATGGCACACACACGGAAAATCGACACCGTCACCTGTTATCATAACGAAAAAAAACAGCTGATTTATCTAAAAAGATAAGAGGTAGGGGTGAGAGTTAGAGATGAAGGATGGGGTTGGGGTGGGGGTGTTTATAAGGATAAGGGTGTAAAAGGGGATGAGGTCAAAGATAGAGTTGGGGTAGGGATGAGGATGGGGAGGCGATGTTAAATTTTTTTAATTTTGTGTTTTCACAACGAACAAACTTAAATTAATGCGTAATGAATTGATTCAAAATAACTAGCCAAGTGAACGTTTTGCTAATAAATCGATTAAGGCCAATTATTAAAAAACTACTAATACATTTTTGGCAACAAAATTAATCATCACCTACCATTCGAGTACCGTGGTTACCATTGTCACAAACCAAATGTTTATTTTGGGTTAGCAACGAAAAATATTTCGAATGGTATTGGTACGTGAGCCGTGGTTTGAGGAAGAGATTTAGGTTTAAGTCAGTAATTTTAACGCAAAATTTCGACGGATTTTCTGATTTGTATTATAAAACAACACAAATAAACAATTTAAAACAAAATGGTTGTGTACACAATTTACAAATAACTTTAAAGATACTCTGAAACATACATAGATGCTCTGAAAAACTTAGATACTTCATAAAACACGACTGATGCTCTGCAGCAAAACGACTAATTCACCGTTGTAGGTGGGACACGGCCGAGGTGTATCTGACTAGGGCTAAATCCCTAAGTCAGCGAATTCTATTCGACTCGGTCGTAGTCAACACCAATTACCTGATGCTCTTAACTTTTATAATTATTTACACACATATAAAAAACATATTATAATATTCAGGCCTTAATAACTTAAGGCCAAGCCAATTGTCTGATGTCTTCATCCAAGTCATAAATGAACAAAGTATCGCCTTTATCCATAAGATCTATTGGACGATCGATTCTTTATATATATAACAACATATTTGTAAATAAAAATACCGGGTAAAACTTGTTCGATTTAATTTTATGTTTTACGTTTTTTAACGTTAATTTTACATTCATCATATCTTTTTACATTTGACAATATTCAAATATGAACGATTCCGACACTTACAAGTGGTATTTGAAACGTACTGTGTACATAGGGGGTTTAGCTGAAGAAGTGGACGACAACGTTTTGAGATCTACATTCATCCCTTTGGCGATATTGTTGATGTTCCGGTGAATACTAAAAATTGTAGATTCATATTGGTAGTATTTTAAACTTTGTTCTAAGTTTTTCATTTTGTTAATTTTTTTTTAAAATACCCTACACTTGCATTTGGTTATGTAAATTACTATTAACAAAAAAAACAAGTTTACTGAATACACATTTTTTAATATTTCAAAAATTAACCGATTAGCAGTATACCACGGTTCCTAATACCTAATTGATGGAGTTCCCTAGGCCTCAATCCTATTTGGATATCAAATCGAATTTTTGGTATTTCCATTTTTGGAATTTTTAAGCAAATGAAAAACAGTTGTTCAAAAATCGACTTCCACATTGACCTGGGAAAAGGGTCAATGTAATATACTGTAGGCGCGCGCTCTTCAGTTAAAAAAATATTAAATATTTTGTTTTAACATACAGCTGCCCTAGGCCATTACTTCCCCTTTAATTATATGTTTAAATATTATTGTACTGTAACGGACTTACTTGTCTAGCTGGCTAGACTAAGCAAAGTGGCCGTCGATAATGCTAAAATAGACGGATCCCCACGGGAAAAAGGTTGGCTAAAGTCAACTAGTTAACTAGATGTTACGCGACGTGCATTGCTCTGTGTGTGCGACCGTTCCCCTACCTATAGTCGGGGGTGCTGTGTCAGTAGGTTTGGGTGAAATATGATCGTTACAGTATGTTAAGTGGCTTTGAATTTTAAAAAAATTATGACATTTTAACTGAATTAAGTACTTTATTACCGAAAAACTGTGATATTTTTTACACAAGTCGTTTATACAAAATACAAGTTAAAACAAATTACTTAATATTCCTTCTTTTAAGTGTGTAGTAGTAGTAGTAGTGTTTCGATGAAATTGAGCGAGATTCGGTAACTTGTGTGGATGATAGTATAAATCATGGAATAACAGGAACAACTCTAAACCAAGAATCCACCAAAAAAAAAGAAAAAAACCAAACGTGGAACATGCATTAATCGAATTTATGGAAAGCCATAAAGAGACAAAGAAAACCTCCGAAAATGATGAGATCTGGTTTTTTTTTTATTCATTACTTCCATCCGTTAAATCGCTAACTATGGATGATAAATTTGCACTCTAATTCAAACAATGCAGCTCAGATTCTCTAGGAATTGTTTTAAGCCAGATATTAAACACTACAATATTAGCCAGAAACTTGATATGTGTTATATACTAGCCACCTTAGATACTAGGAATAGTAATGCTGAGTAGCTTTGTCTTTCGTCATTATACTTTTTTGTAACCTTTCGACTTGTGTGACTCGCTAACCTAACCTAACCTATTTATCCAGAAATTTATTCGGTACTTCAACGAGACATTAATATGTTCTATCGTGATTGCAGTCTTGGCTGAAAAATGTTTTTTTTTAGAGCAAAACAGTTCATAGCCCAGCTTATAATGTCCGACCTTTTTCGTTTACCGTTGTATTTTACAGCTCCACTCGGTCACATCTCTTTTCTTTTTTTTTAATTTATCTTATTTTAACAATTTAATTAACAATTCAGTACAGTGTATATCAACTTAAACTTAAATTATACTATACCAAATAATAATATTAACAATACAAAGTTCAGTGTAAATAAGCTGAAATATAACTTAATGTACATAAAAAAAGACTAATTTTAACAATATATGAAACTATAAATTCATTTTATTTGTTTTTTTTTACTACTCGGCCCACTCTAGTTATTGTTCTATTTTCTATTTCTTTTCCTATTTCATCTTTATTGTTTTTATAACTCATTTTTTATTAACCTCTTTATCATTTTCCTCAGTATTATTTTCCTTAACTTAAATATAACTGTATCTTTATTTTATCCATTTACTAGTTCTTTTTAAAATTCTCCCCTTTTCATCCTTAATTCCTTGGATCGGACAATTTTTTAATTATTTCTCAGAATGTTGAATTTACCTTTATGATTTGTATCAAGTATAATGACGTTTTCTGTGACGCCAGACAGTCATTGTGCTTAAAATGATGTACATTATTTATAAAAATAATTTATTTTATCGAATAACATAGTATTTTGTAAGTATTATCTATATTAAAATATTATAAAATAAATAGCCGTTAAAAATTATAACTTAAAATGAACAAAATGATAGCCTGGCGAGGTACAATCGATTAAAACGAAAGATCTGTATAGGTATTTTTTCTTTGGCTATAATTTACCTATTCTAACGATTCTAAAAATAATTTAATATTTTACATGTATTATCCGCATTAAAATATTATGGAAAAAAAAGCCGTTAAAAATAATATTAGTAAAAATGGTCAAAACTAAAGATTTGTAAAGGTTTTTTTTTCTTAGGGCATAATGGATTTAAATTTACCGAGCACGATGCCCTATGTTAGGTAAAGTGGGTAAGGCTAGGTTAGGGAACCAATACGGCAGCAAAATAACCTCGGCAGCGGGTGAGTCAACGATACGACGGCTAATTTTTTCCATAGAAATCATATTCAGCGGCAAGACCTTGACGACGACGAATCTACCGGCTTCGGAGGCGAATCACCTTTGGCGGTCAATCTCCGGAATCATCCCAATCGCCAATCGTCCTATTATCCCAGAATATAAGTTTCCCTTGTACTTATTTATATTGTAAAAATGTTGATTGGTCGATAACCAGTTTTGGATAATTGTTTAAATAATTAAAATAATTGTTAAAATAATTGTTTGATAATTAAAGTTTATAGAATTTTAAATTTAGAACGGGAGGTGAAGTGCGGTTGATTAACGAGAGTAGATACAATTAATACTATACTTCATCCGTCCTAAGTTTTAAACTTGGTAACTTTAAAAGAAATGAAAGTTTAATACCCTTTATACACTATTAAACAAACAAATCGAAATACTTGAGCTAAAATAGTTTATTTTGCTCTGAGATCGACTTTGAAACCCTTACATTTATCTGCCAAGTTGTTGCAAATAAGTTTTTCAATACTTGCAGATCTTACAATATCGAACCCTTCGGCGCCTCCAAATGTTTCTTGCTTCCACCAGTTTTTGAACCCAATTGGACTTGATAAAATTGCACCCATAATCAAACTATTTGACATGGCATTGTATGTAGGTGATGTAATTCCGTTTTTGTGATTTTCCGCCAACATTCCTGGTATCAACTCGACATTTTCAATATGATCATACAAGTTCTTTAGCTGTATAGCCATTTCTTTATCTCTAGTTAATGAATAAAAGTTTTTATAAGGCTTCAGTCCCAGATGTCTTCTATAGTTATTGAAACGTTGGGACATTTGTTCTCTTGATAATTTCAACAAAAGTTTCGTCAGTGGTTCTGTAGCTGCGCCATCATTTTTGCACGTGACCATGCCCATTTTATGATTGACCATTAACTGAAGTGTGGCACTCAATCCATCCACAAACAGTTGTCTTAAAACATCACATGACATAATATTCACGTTACACGTTTTTATTATGTTCTAAATTATGTAAAATATACTTTTAGCGTATATCAGGTATACCTGTTGTTACTGAAAAGTAATGTACTCAGATCGGTGCCATTTATATCGTCTGGCAAACTGGATGGCCACATGGTAGCAAAAAGTAATTCGTCCGGAGTATTCCTTCCTTTATTCGCAATGATGGGTACATTTTTGTGTAAA